TATGTTATATACGTCATGCCTTCGTTACATTTCGTTGATACATTATCAACTTACGATTTATCGTGAAGTGCAAGCACCATATTCGTTAAAAGTTGCGCATGTGCAAACTCATCAAGAAAACATTTTAATGAGAGAAAGTCAAAAGCAACGTATCGAACACAACATCATTCACTTCTTGAATATTTCACAAAGTTATTTCAATATTTTTCAGCGATACTGTTCGGTAAAGGGTACAGTTCATTGATCAGTTGCAGATTTGGAAAAAAAAGCAAGAGAAAGTGCTCAACCTGAATTCCACTAAGTGATGAAGTCACCGTATAGGCAATGAAGCTCTTGAGACCCTTCAACTTCGACTCTTTTTTTGGTTTATCCACAACACAAGTGTACTGCTGCTTTATTTTCGTCCATTCAGGGCCTTTATCGGTCAACTGAAAATAAACCGAGATACTGAAGCAAGGGAATAGTTGGATGGTTGCTGCTTTAAAAAGACCGAATACGAGCAAAAAGTGATAACATGAGAACTTAGCAGGAGAACGACTCAGCACAAACGTGAACAGTAAACAATAAAACTGAGAATGCATGAACTAACAATAATCTCATGACACTCTTCAGGTTTAGTTGTCATTTTTGCAGTCGACAATACAAAAGCCTCCATTCCAGATTTAACAAAGTTCGAGAACCTGAATTCGCAATAACATCTCTCAATTTAACATTGAACGTCAATCATAAACTCAACATGTATGCAATCTCTAAATTAAAAAATGTTAGGGATAATGAAACAGTGTAGTCTCATAATCGAAAGTGCTCCTCTCCTCACCTGTTGATATTCTTCATCCTGATGGTGCCTTGCTTCGTGGAAATGGTTTCTGGACCTGCTGATCGACTGCGCGCCACAGTGTTTTGTCCTGATGCTGCTACCGCATTACCCAGCGTCTCCTAAGAAGCACAAACGTGAACACATGAAGAACTGAAGGAGAGAATGAAATTACTAACCTAAAATATACATGTTAAAATCTTGCAAATGCCTCCTAAGCTCAGTTAATAATTCTATCACAATCTGACCAATAGACTCCACATGATAGTTATTGATATTCACACACCCACTGATAACCACGAAATGCGGTTAGTATGGTACTCCGTCCCAGCAGCAACACGGATGCACAGAGTAAAAATGATTCCTTCCCATCTCCGTGCCGAACTTAGTGAAAACCCAATCGGAAGTATTCCAAACAAGGCACAATACTAACAGAACACAAAAAACAACATATCACCGCTAATCCTAATGAGCGAACGCTTGATAAATCTACTCTTCATGCTTACTGTGCAGTGCTGATTCTCACAAAACAACCATTTCACATCAGGAAACGAAAAATTTCCTTTCTCACATAGAAACCGACAGACATCATTCAAATGAATCATGCAATTCACTGAGCTTCAAAGTTGAGGCATCAAGTGATGATGTACATAACGAATGAACAGCACCACAGTCGTCTTCTCCAACTTGCTTGCAAATGATCTCGAACCAAAAGATGTGAATATTGAACAACTTTTCAAACTACGTCAACAACTAACTACCAGTCATACATAATGACACTAATATATTTCGAATCACATGCCTGCATTCACCTGTATACAATATCTTCACAATTCAGCACTCACTAATAAGTTCCTATTCCCAAAGGATTTCCACTTCTAACTTTAAGACAAGAATGGACATTGAGAATTTGCGAAAATGATCAATAGTTTAAAAAAAGGCTGCGAATATTCCTGCAGAATACCCTACTTAAGCAACTGCAGTGAATCTTCACGCTTTTTAAAGGCTGATGATGAATGTTCGAAACATTCACTATATCATGTCTAATGCAAAAAAAAAGAGATTAACGACTTCGGTTGCTTGTGATCGCTCTTCTCGAGAAGTATCAATTCAACATCAACAACAATATCCATTTAGCGATCGCAATGAATGACATAAAAATCAACGACGTTTGCAGCAGATATATAGACAATTACATCTGCGAAGATAACGATTTAATTTTCTCGGATATCACATTTTTACACTTTCCATTCTTAATTACCGTTTTTTTTGCTGAAACGATAATTGAGGCTAGAAGGAGTTTTGCAGCACTTCCAATTGTATGTGAGCAAAAAAGACTGAAACTTTTCACAGCTAAACATGGAACACATTCGGATATTTTCACTTCCTCTGTCCGCATTAATGTCGTACGTCTCTAGCAACACTGCATCAGGTCCCACTACATTTTCGAATTAGGAATAGCGCGAGAACAATAACGTGAGCATATTCGAACTCAAGACGTACCCGTCTTCGTGAGAGAAAGTTAGTTCGTGGAGGTGCTGAACGGTGACGCAATGAAGAACTGATGAAGTAATGCACCATCACTGAGGCAATTCTTCTCAGTCGAGAACGAAGACGTTTCGAAATGAATTGAAATTAGGAGAATGATTGAATTTACAATCCGAATGTGAAAGCTATTCTTTTTCGATTAACGGAGTATCAAGGCAAACAAAATCGAATAGAACAGAAGCAGTGACAAGATTTATCGAATCAGCACTTGAATTCGATAAATTCTGCATTCATTTGATGACAGCATGATCATTACAAACATGCATCCATCAAATTCGTCCATTCATTCATCCATCAAACTGCTAATTCAATCATATCAACAAAAACTGCAATTGATCGCATGAAACTGCCCCATATTTTTCTTCTTGAGCGACAATAAAATAGATAGGACCGTTGAAAAATCAACTGAATCTACAAATACAGCAACTATTACTTTACGAACACTGAAATCAAAGAATTCATAACAACTTCACTGCATTTTCACACTACAGTACTTTCGCATATCACTACTGTGAACACTGTATAAGGGAAAGGATAGTCGTTGATTGCATGAACGAGACACTTATCGAAGAGACCACAGTCATGATAGGAGGCAATCTCGGTCGACGTTGAGTCACAGTTTCATTACGGATCACAACAATTAGCAATGATGATAAAACTAATGATCTTAAATCATGGCAGACTGATTGATGTGAAGGTGTGGAAAATGGTACAAAATAGTGATGCGAACTGCACAAAAGTGGTGCGATGTGTGAGGTACGAAAAATGAGAATATGTGCACAGAAAGTGACGAGCAAAGCACTGGAAGCAGATGTTTCCTCGCTGAAACATGTTGAGTGATGCCAACTCAAACGAGAACGGTGACGATGACAGAAGAGTATGTGATGCCACAACGACGACAACAATGCATTCAGAGCAATCATCAAGGCATTCCGACTGACTGATAAATATCCTTACAGATTTGTTGATTTTGCCATTCTTGCTATCTCTTCGTTCCTGAGGATGTTTGTGGGATTGTGCTTGCACTTGCTGCTGTTTGCATTTACTGTCCAGTTCATCGTCTGTCGACAGGTCCGTACGTGAACCACCACTGGTGGCACGTGAATGTGAGCGAGCGCTTGTCGGTTGTAGCACACTCGTTTCATCTTGCCCTCTTGTACCAGCATCCTAGAATGGTGTTTCAGCAAAATAGTAAGGTGCCGCCCCGGTTACTGTATGCTTTAGGCTAATTCTAAGGATAAGGATAGCCTTTCAGATGAATCGATTGATGTTTTCATCACCGCACACTCATTCATGGAACTTGACACTCCTAGGGACAGACGTCTTCGGCGAAGCTGGTCACAGCAGTTATGTGCAAATGAAATTGGCTTAACAGTTAGGCGTCGCATAAAAAGTTATTATCATAATTTTATAGGTGTATTGAGTACAGTAATTCATTACGAACAGAATGAACATCACTGAGTTAGTAGGAAGCGGGTTACTTTCCGATGCGTTATATGCTGCGAAAGCATTGATGACAGGACGCAGTGCATAACGGAAGTGAATTCAAATTCACTACACTAACATGTGAAAAATAAGACTGAAAATCAGATTCAAAAAGTGACTGCCGGCGAAAAAAAAAACATCGCAATTGAATAAACAGGAAGATGGTTTGCAGCCGATACAGCGTCAACACATCCTTTTCGGATTGTATTCTCAAGGAAACACATGAAAAACTGACAGCAACGATAGTGAGATACTGCTTTCGTGGCTTACAATTCAGTTTATTAAATGAGGATTTAAGCTCAGATGTTACCTGGCCTTCAACGATACGGCGGAATTCGTGCGAGTGTCATGTTCAAATGAATCAGATGTGTTTTTATATCATTTCTTACGCATATCACAATTACTAAAATCCCAAGTTTGCACAACGTATGTGCACAGTTTTGTTGCTTAACAACAACTGCTTAATGCAGTATGTGGAAGAGTTAAAAGAATTTTAAGTTAATCGTAGGAAGCGAAAAGGGTACGAATCAAGGCAAACTTTGCATGCAAATCTTACATGAGAAAATGATCACAGAATTTTGCTTTTGGATCTACTGTTAACACAAAATGAATCGGGGAGATATTTGAAAAAAAAAGTTGAGATCAGAATAAAAAATAGTTTGGATCGATGGGATCCTTTTGCTACTCAAATGAACGAGATCGAATGTTAAAAATGGAATATTTTCGTCCTTATTGCTTGACGAAAATAAATTTACACATGTATCAGTGCGATTTTTTGAGTGTCATCACACAGAATGACAGATGTCCGATAATTTTGAAACAATTCTCCTAGCACTGGATGAAATTCATAATNAATTCACATACAAAATTCACATACAAAATGCTGAAAAAGAAATTCACATACACGAAGTACACTCGAATGTCGACGGAACGTTACTGGGTCAATAGTGGTGGATAACGAGCGAGTTCGTGCAAATAGCATTTGATTGATTCAGTTTGTAGCTCGTCAGTCAATAATTAATAATCATGCGTTGATTCAATCAGTTCACTAATCAATTGATAGCGATGAGGAAGCCAATGCAAAATATACAACAAAATATGTGTTTCCTTAGCAGATCAATTAATTTGGTCGTTAACCTACTGCAGTGAGGTTGTGGTGACGAAGGCACTACAAAAACAGTTTACGAATCCGATCATGAAACGTGGATTGCACACTTAATGATTCTTGTGCAGACTGAATGAATGATGATGATACACGCTGCGGTCAGTTTGAAACAATATATTTGAAATAATGCAAAGAAACCAAATAAGACACTCACAAGCACAAAAATGATCGCGTTTTTTAAGCTCACATGCAAGTGATATCAGCCGGAGAACAACACTGACACAGGATGAGAGGATGAATAATGCACTAAGTGGGAAGATTAATTAATGGCTGGGCTCGGATGTGGCCATGTAGCTGAATAGCAAACAATAGATGTGCTGCAGCTATACAGAATAACAGCAATATGAGATTGATGACAACTAAAAATAGCATCAACTTATCCAGACGGCACAAGATGATGGTGAAGCTTTTAAGTGATCAGATGTTAGAGGGAACCAATAAATAATGTTACGCATTGCTGAATGCTTGGAAAGGATGTGTCAAGAAAACAAAATCTTCGTGTTTGCAGCATGTGTGCATGCGGATGAAGACTATGCGGTGAAGGCTATAGTACTACCACTATCGTGTCGACTGATTCGTTTCAGAAAATTATCTTTTGTTCGAAGATGAAAAGATAAAGGATGTCCAAGTTAGAAGATAAAGATAAAGGATATACGCATTTGCACGAAGTGCAGTAATCTGCTCATTACATATCAAACATAAAACTTCAACAGCACTGAGTATATTGGAATATCAAACAAGCTCAGTAAATCTTCTCTCAATGAAATGATCACCATCTAATGTTAATGATTTTCAAGTCATAATGCTGAACCATGATACCATTTGAATTACAATTCTACGGTCACTCATCGGTTCGCATAGCAAAACCAGGCAGGCTTGTAAGCAGCTATGTTTTTTAGTGTGATCAAAAGCTTTTTCTTTCGATGTGAAGAATTTCTGCGCAGACGTCGTTGATTTCACCCGAGGGAGTATCATTCAGATTTCTATCGATAATCAACTCTCGACAGGAGGAATTTTTCGGTTGCTCACATTGGCTATAAGCCTTTTATGAGCCGAGCCACTCGTTCAAACAATAACAATTGAATTACCAGAATATACCAAGAAACTCATTTGTAGCATTGCTGAAATTCGAGTGAAACATTTCGTCGCATTACTTCCGCCACTTTGTCATTAACTTCGATTGTCAATTTCTATCGCTCTCTCATAGTTAACTTATCCAACTGTTATTACTTACAGCATAATAGAATTTGAGGCAAAATCCTCACACAATACACACAGACATAATAACATTAAATTGTGAAAACAACAGCAACTGAATTTTTCGAAAATATCGCTTTAAATACAAGTATGGCATAACATCAGTGGAAGTGATGATTGATACATTAGAAAAAGTCTGTTTATTTCAATACCTTATCACTTTCAAATTGATGGTTCCCACCATGCTCGCACAGGATAACGAATAGATAAAGGGCTAAAGGCGTTCTTGGGAAACTGGTTTTATAATTGAGGAAAGGACACTGAACTAGTATTATGATGAAGAAATTGTAATTCTAGAATTCTATGACAGTTTTTTCACTGAAGAGTTTTATTATCGATGAAAATTTCGACGCCATAGCGCTCAGAATATTCACTTAAATCGAATTTGCCAATAAAATGAAGTATTCGATGACAGCTCATCAAACAATGCAAAATGAAAAAAAAAATTTTTTTTATTGTCTCTGAAATGATCACGATTCCTTCAAGTGATCAAAACGTAACTATTCAGCACTGTGTTCATCACGAAAAGCTGCTCATAAACAGCTCAACAAGCAGTAAAAATAAAAGACTAAAAGCAAACCACGATCTCTTCGTCATCATCACTCCAATCATCAAAATCATCATCGTCGTGGTTCACAGCACTACCTGACGTTCCTACGGATGGATAGATTGACTGAGCGGTGGGTTGCTGAAATCATTCACAGCATAGGAATTTCATGCTCAAAACTGAGAAATTAGCACTGCTCAACGACAAGCAATAATAGGCCAACATAAACAACGATCTAGTTGTCCATGTTTCTCATGATATTGGCTGACATGAGCAATTTTCAGTCGTATGGAAAATGTACACGTGTACAGGATCGAAGCTAAACGGATCGGGTAACCCTCCACCAGATTTTTTCTAGAGCCGTACGTTTTCTCCTCATAACCTTCTTGTAAGCAATTCTTTTTTCGCCGTTCAATGCCTAAACTGTATCCGATGCGTCTGGTGCTCACAACTCCACCAGACAATAATAAAAAATTCAACATGATCAAGAACAACTTCGGAGTAGTCATTTTCACTACTTCCAGTTACATTTATGATGCGCTTTTTGCAGTCATATTGCTCACGAAATAATGCTGCATGAGCGCATATTCCGCGTTCAGATACTGAATGGGCACTTTCATCATCATGACAGTTCTATCGTGCGTTCTGTGAATACACGAACACAGAAGAGAACATCCTGTTTCTTATTATCACTTCCTTCTTTCATTTCTGAACAATCCAAAGCAACTAAAGGAACAGCAAAATAAATGTGAATGAACGCATTGGAAAAAGAATATTTTTCCTACAACACCACAATTTTCATTGCTCACTCAACACTGATGTCGCATCCAGACGGAGAGAGAGACCTTCAAGGAATGCAATTCCCAAAACTCAACCGGGAAATGATCGCATTCACTGGAGAACAGTTTTGTGATATCCCCATAAGTGGACGTAAATCAAATTCAAAATGTAGCAAAATCAAGAACGGATATTTNTTTGATGTGATGCTTCGAAAGCTTTAATGATTTTGGAATGGCAACACTTTACTGAACGAAATGAAACTTTCTATGAAATTCGAACATTCCTCTTGAGTGATTTTTATTTGGACAGCATTAAAAACCATTTTTATTGACTGTAATTGTGTAATCGAACGGCTCACTCCAGCTGTGTAAACTAATTAATGAATTTTCGTATTGCATCTTAACAACGTAACAACGAGTTGAAATGTTAACGAATGTTTCAAAGAGTTACGTTGTTGTTGATTTTTCTGTTGTTTTTTTTTCGAAACTGAGAAGAAGCTTACCGCTGATGAGGGAATATGCGCAGAAGCGGGTGGTGCCGGAAAACTCCATGAGTCGTCGACTGGTGCGGAATGTGGCGGTAATGCTGGAGGAAGTTCTGTCTGAAACGAAATCAACATTCAAATGGTGAATTCAACTGATCAACAACCTTAAATGCCAAATATTTCTCCAGTTAGGAGCAAATATCAAATGTTCACTCAATTCATAGATGAAAAATGTTTCATCCACTTCATTAACAGCATCTCAATGATTTTTCGAACTGCTTTGCTCCATGATTAAGCTGTTCTTCGGTGGAATTCTTCCAATGTACAATTTCGATTATGCAAATTTCTCATTGCATTCCTTCGAAATTGATTACATGTTCATGAAAATGTTTCACGTAACAACGCCATTAATAATTTTTTAATGCGTTCCCATACTCATTTTATATGCAAACTGATGACAGAAACTTCCATTGTTCATTACTACTTGCGAGTTATCAACAAACTTCGCAATAAACTGAGAGAATCTCTTCGAAGTTAGCATTCTACAACTGTGCAATCAAGTAAGAACGGAAGAGCGAAGAAGAATGAACTGAGCCACGCAAAAGCGAATGATGAAATTCGTTTGGAGAGCTGCAAATTCAATAAATGTCTGTTCATTTGATGAGAAAAACCGACCGTTCGCGATAAACGCTTCGAATAATTTCTTGTTAAAGTGTTTCGAAAACGAGAAATGTATTCCATTGGTGGCGATCGTCTGTGAAATGCAGTGCTGAGAATGTGAAAGAGTTTGTTTGCAAAGCAACTAACAAAATGTGATATTAACAAAATAAATATTCACTTTAGGGGAGAACAAAAGTCATATTTATTTAGGTTCGTTNCAATTCAATTGAGTGATGAATTACTGATGGTGACAAACAAAATGAAGCTGCAGGGAATTCTTTCATGAAATCACACACAAAAACAACATCACTGATCGACGAATTTCACAAACAAAATCAGTTGGTGTTTGCTTGCATTGAATGGTTTTCTTTTCATCTCGACACAGAATAATCTTTCGTGCACAATAAATTCTGTAACCGCCACTTCAAAAAAGGTTCAGTGGATCCCAGTCAATCAAATCAAATAAGTCTGCCACGACTGTTCGATGGGAACTCCAAATCGCAGCCAGTTAAAAGAAAATAGACTCCTCAACAAAAGTATTGCTCGTCGGTTATTTTCCGGGCCATCAGAAAGGTAACTGGACCGAAAACTGCTCCCTTTTCCACCACTCGAATGCAAAAATGTAAGCATTTAATCAGTGACGTATCCACGACTGTTTCCATGGGAAGGGGATGCCAAAATAGTCTGGCCAAGAAAAATAGCTGAATTTCGTGGCAGACTCTTCTACTTTTTCCTTTCCTTCTTCCTTCCATGATTTCTTTCCCCCTTCTTTCTCCCGAATCCTTCTCCCGTCTTGTTTCGTCATTTCTTATTCCTCTTCCCCGCCCCTCTGAGGACATCACTGTTTNTATCTACCTTATGTTCCGGGATAACTTTCATCGGACTGAAAACTTTGAGAGTGGCACGAGTGTATTTTTGACGTGTTAACGTGATGGCTTGTTGTTTCGGTGAAGCATTTCGCTGTTGTAACGCAATCACTGCACACGTATGACGTCTTATCAATTGGGCACGCTTTTCAGCTAGTCGCATTGCATGTTCGGTCTGATGACGCTTTGATGATGACGACGAGTGATCAACTGCTTTACGGAGATTCGATGTGAACAACATTTTGCATCGATCGATCGGATTACTGATCGGTTGAATGGATTTGGTTGAGTGGATCAATACGATATCGATTTCAGTACTCCAATAATGCTTGTTTGAATTGTTTTTACGATATGAAATGCTAGTTTTTCCTTTTTTTCGGAAAAGAACGCTAACAGTTTGCAAGTCAGTCAAGCACACGTATGGCGCAAACGATCGAGCAGCCTGAAAACGCACGGCTTGACTACATGCATCGCATAGAGTTTGTCGTATTCAGGGTTTTCACGATAGTTTTGCAGTACCGTCAATTTTATCGCAACAAACGAATGAAGAGCCGCACTTCTTCAATGCACTTACAAACACATCAAAGTGAGCAGAGAGTACTCGAATAACTCTTACATAAACTATTGGAGGACGTATCCTTAAGTAATTGCAACATTCGCTCTAACAACCAACCCATAAGCTAGTGGTCAGCCATGTGATGATGATTTGCACAATGACACACGACAGCTGTTCGTAATACGAATAAGTGATATTTTAGATATAAAATTCAGTTTGAATATATAACTACAGGAAGATTACGATAAACAAT